CCCCCCGCGTATACTTTTGTACACGTGTACGCACAACTACATCCTCAACAAACAATTTTCTTTTTTCTTTTTTTTTTTCAACTTATTTTCTCTCTTTTTACCTCACTCGCTGCGTCATCCACGCGAAAAAGCAAATTATCATCGCGATAGCCGACTCGGGCGCTTCGATCGGTTATGGATTAATTTTATCGCTCTCGGTTCTCTACTCCCCGCTACCACTGTACTCTCTCTCTCTTTGTAAATACGACTTTTATCGCGTTTAAAAGCTTTCAATATTTCCAGTTCCATTTGGCCGGTTACGCGCATATTATAATATATTAGTGAATTTTCCTCGTCATCACCATCATCATTGCAAATATGGTTTGCCAAGCAATTTACGATACGAAACGTATAAAAGCTTGCGCGTGTATATGGAACGCCTTTATTTGTATGTATGTACAAATTAAATACACCAGTATAGATCCCATGGTTGGGGGGTTTAACGAAAATAAACCGTAACAGAAATCTTTGTTCGCGCGCGCGTGGCGCGAGAAAAACGAAGGAGAATCACCCCTCGTCGCTCGTCAGCATTAGCATCGCGGAGGAGTGGAGAGGAGAGTCTTTGCACTTCTTTGCATAATTAGAATACTCGCTCGCTCGGCAGTGGCTGCACCGAGCAATGCAGTAGTCGCCGGGGGTAGCTCCTCGTCGCCGTGTCTGCTGGTGTGTACTTCGCGCATTACCGGAATACGTAAACCTCATTTACATGTATTTCGGGAACACCCCCGGTTTTGTCGCCACTATCCCCCCTCCGCGCTCCCCATCCCCAATTTATATTTACACGCAGACAGTAATTTCCTCGCGCCGTTTCCTCGAGAGCCTCCACGCGTGCTCAACTTTACCCCACCCCAACGTGATGGATAACAAGTATATCTTGTATTTTTCTTCTCTCTCCCTTTCCCGGCACTTTTATCCCAGCCAGGGTTAACGACGCGCCATTCAAAAACTCCAATCACGAAAGACGCCGAGTCGAGGAGCAAAAAAAACAAAAAAACAAAAAAAGGTAAGGGGTAAAGTTTCTCCCTCAATTAGAGCCCATCCATTCATTCATGCAATCGCACAGCGATTCAAACGAACCAACTCGTCGCGCCTAACCACACGCATATCTCCCTGATGTGGCATATACACATATTAAGTCACGCGGTTGGGGTGTTAATTTGGCCGCAATATTATCGTCATCAATACGTATGCGACGGGGGTGGCAAAGCGAGAGGTTTCCTCGGGGGCGACCGCGAAAGCCGCAAGCCGCTCGACGCAAACGGCTCAGCCGTATACCTTCGCACCAGCTCGTTAAAATCGATTTGGCCTCTCTCTCTTGAAAATCACAGCTACATGCATCACCAGAGCCCCGCGTTTGCGGCTGGAGCTTTGAACGCTTTCGCGTCAAGTGCACGCACATCGGCCGAGCCGCCCTTTTTCTCCGGACAACGTCTCTCCCTCCTTGTTGGAGTTAAACAACTACAAAGTTGAAGATTCCCCCGCATCTGGATGCTTTTCCACAGCCAAAAGTTTTTTCGTGCGATAACGATTATACATCCCAATGCACGACTCGAAGCTAGAAGAAAGACGCCAACTCTCGTGGTTGATCCCGTGTACTGAATTATTCATTTTCCAGCGGTGCACAAACCTATGTCTACACAGCTATGGATCATCGGTTTCGCCGGAAATCTCGAACCACGCGGTGTTACAGTAATGATGATGGTCCCGTCCGTGGTTACATATAGGTGTCAAAGGGGGGGGGATACTTTCGGCACCGTACCTATAGGCTTTGTTTTCACAATAGGGAGATGGGAAAAAAAAAACAAAAAAAAACAAAGGGTTCTCGTTGGTTTTCGGGTCATATCTCTCGTGCAGCTTCATTATGCACGTTCTGTGTGGGCATATGTGTGGCACACTGCCAGACCAACTCGAGGCTTTTCTTCTCCCCTATCTCTCTCTCTCTCTCTCTCGTGCACACAGATACATATATATATATTTATATACTTGGGTGGGCCGAAACTTTGGCGTCAAGGAGCGCTTAATTTTGTAAGCGCCGTGTACACGGCAAACACACTTGTTTTCCGATTCTCCTTAATTTTGCAAAAACTTGCGTCCGACCTCTCCAGATTGGCTTTTTCGTGTCCGCGGCCACACGGAGACGCGAAAGAGCAGCCCTGAATAATTGACAAGGGGGGGTTTGCAGGATTGCCCCTCTCTCTCTCTCTCTCCGCGGCTCGTCATTGCTTATACACATACATATATAGCCTTCTCTCTTTCGCACATCTTTGGAAAGTTAGTCATCGTCGTTGCTACACTGCTGTTCTCCGCAAAACCAGCCAACTTTTCTCGCGTAAAATATTCAGATTCATTAAACTCGACACGATTTTCAGCCCCACCTCCCCGACGCTGTAACTTTCCTTTTCCCTTCATTTTTCCTTTCTCGCGGTCCAACGGTTTTTACCCATACCGGTATCTCTATTTTTTTTTTTTTTCTTTCCTTCCCACGAAGCACGAGATGCTTTCGCTCCAACGGCTACTGCATACACATGTACACGAGGGGAGGAAAAGTTTAATCGTTCGACGAGCCTGGAGCGGATGAATCNTGGATTGGTAATTAATCATATTTTAATCCGCAATAAATCTGGGAAAATACGTGATTTTCCACAATCAATGTGTTTGACTTATAAAAACAAAAATTTGCGTAACTTTTTACTCGGACATAGTAGCTCCAAAAAACTGCAGCCAAGGTATTTTAACGTAAAAATGAAAGTTTCATCTATATCTGAAAATTTTAGGTACCAACAATACTATACCCATACATATTATGTGCTGACGGTGGTACAGAAGGTAGAATATTTTCATCTCGTAAGCGAACGCAAAATTGGCTTCGAATCTTCAATCTCTCCTACAAGCACACATAAAGTGTAATTGGACAAGTCGAAACGCTCTTTGCAATGACAAAACTTATAAACAAAATACGTGGTTGAAGAAAAGTTTTTTTTTTTTTTTTTTTTTTTTTTCAATTATATTGGAACATGGACTACAACAACATATTTGTGTGGTCGTATACTGTACGTGCAGGTCGCTGTCGTTCGTGATGATAACGACGTGCTTCAACTTGGGACTCCTGTCGGTGTTTTACCTGGCGATCGACGTGACCGGCGCGTGGCAAGGTGGCCCCTTCAGGATACCAGGTTGGTTAAACCATAACGAGTTACAATGTATACCACAATGTTCACTTGTTACCCAACAGGTATGAACGCCCTCGTGATGTACACGGGCCACCAGGTGCTTTGGTCGATGTTTCCCTTTCACTGGAAAATCGGGCGCATGAACAGCCACGCGCTACTGCTCACCGAGTCGATCTGGTGCGTGGGACTCTGGACTCTGGTGGCTTACGTGCTGCACCGGAAGAAAATATACGTCAGACTTTGAGTGCTTCAACCACCGTCCATATATATACATATACGTTGTGTAAAAAAAGAAAAAAAAAAAAATCAACGGTTTTTGGAATAAAGGCAAATACGTGTATTGGTATATAAATATTCGGTTGTATGGTTGAGGAGTATAGTCGGGGAGGGTTTTCGGTCGAGGTAAACTTTGAGAGGAAAAAACAACGCTATATAGGAGGCAAAGAAGTATGGGACGAAGGGCTGTTATTACTGCTGATATTTTTTTTACCGGCAAAACGAGCCAAAATGTACACACGCTGTGGCAGCGGTTGTGTATACGTGTATGTTATACACAGAGGCCCGTCAACAAGAGGAGGAGAAGGAGGAGGTTCAAAAGTGCGCTCGAGCTTTACATATCTATATGTACATATAACCGTCACTGAGAGAGATGGGGGAGGGGGCGAAACTCTCGGGCGAGCACTTTCGTTAATTAAATGCCGTTGTTCGGTTCTGCTTTTTAATCGAGTTATCGCTTAAGCCCCGGACAAAAGGCTCAACCCGGTCCGGCTAACCCTAACTCTCTCTCGGCTACTGGTGCTACTTTGGCGCGAGTAAGTAACGTCTCCGTGAGGCCACCCCCTTGCGTAAACATATCAAGCCAGCCCCTCTTTCTCTCTCTCTCTCTCTGTCGCGCTAATTAGGACCCCAATTATTCGGCCTCCCAGCGACGCGTTGGCAACGAGGCGGCGCAGACGAGCAGGGACACGCGCGGAGACTTAAACTTTAGACCCCCCCCCCCCCTGAGTTTGCGCNTTTTTTTGTGTTTTTTTTTTTTTTTTTTTTATTGCTTCATACACCAAAGTGATGATTTCTCACGGTCCGTACATATATATCTACCGCATAACCTATACTCGCCGGTGTCGTTGGGCCGGCCGGTAAATAATGGCCCCCGAGGCAGGCCCCTCTGTCCGTGTATACATATATATGGTTTCTTCGGTGTGCGTGCGGTCACAGAACGGCGTCCATGTGTCATTGGAAGGCATTAACGTCCGATCGGATCGGACGCGCGTCGCTGGCTTTGCTCTCCTCCTCCTCTCCCTTATTATTATTCGCTCGTTCGCCGGTGCCGTTGTTCCCCCTCTCCCCCCACCTCCTGCGTCGCGCCCAACTAAATTATTGTTCCCAACAATAGCGCCCATCTCCTCCCCGACCCCCCTCTGCCCGCGCGCGAATAGTAACAACGGGACAAGTTTTTTTTATTGCAAAAGTTGGCCCATCGATATAATATACGCGCGTGCGGATACACGGTAGAGTGAAAATTGACGATTCGCCCCCTCGCGCGTGCAAACGAGAGAAAAGAGGAGTGCAGCATATCGGAGCTGAGCCCCATACGGCTCCACATATTAATGCCGTCCATATATAGATATCCGGGGATCGGTTGTGTGGATCCATGCCATCAGGCCATACCGATCTGCCCTGCTCGTCTTGACGTAAATCAAAATACTTACCCGGAGCTGCGCTGCACTTTACCTCCCCCCTCGTCCCACTTGGTATAAAATATGCCGGATCACAACTTCCTTTCCATTTCGCGCGGCTGCGTCTTTTCTTCGGTTTTACAACTCACCCCCCCCCCCTCTCGTTTCATCTCAATGGAGTATCTTTTTTCTCCGTTCGCCCAGACACGTATAACGTATAATCAGCGACGCGCAGGTATGCCGGGGAAAAGTTGTACCTGCCTTTAACGGACCAAAGAGTAGGACTGTTTAGCTCAAGATATTTTCTGACACGAGCCGAGAGAGAGAGAGAGAGAGAGAGAGTTTTCTCGGGGAAAAAGTTTCGCTCGGGCCCTCGAGATATTAAGCAGAGCAAGAGGAAGCAGGACCTACCGAGGCAATTATAGTTAGTTCCTGGGAAGGGGTGGGGGTAAAAAGTAAGGGAGCAAAAGAAGCTGGACGCTGTACATAATGTAGCGGTGGAGGAGCCGACTTTGGAATTCTTTCCCACCCCCCCTGCACTTCATTTTTCTTCATCTTTCCGCGAGTACGCGTACAAGGCGCGGGGGTAGAGGGCCCACCCCCTCTTCCTCTCTTGGCTCGAGTTCGCTGGAATTCAAAGCATCCCAACAATGCACCCCCGTGCGTATGTACTTACGTGTATGCCGTTTGAATGACGGATGGCGAGCTGCGGCGGCAATTAACTCAAAATTACGCAATGCTTAGCCGCGTCGGGCCGCTTGTATGGTGGTACGTTGGAGGATTTTTCTTTTCCCCTCTCTTTCTCTCCATTGTTCGGACTTTCGAATGGAGGCGAACAACGTGACTTTTGATGCTTCGGATATTGTACGATATAACTGGTAATTGATGACGGAGAATGTAAATGTAGGAAAAGGGTGAAAATAAAAGGGTACGCAGGCGTGTTGTTTCTCATAATGTTTTAAAATATTTATTATTCAAAATCATTGAGTTTTCTCTCTCTCTATCTTTGAATAGTTGTAAGATTGAGGTTTTTCGACGTCTCGACGAGTACGATAGTTTTTTTTTTTCCTCCGCCTAGGCGTCTTTGGCTGTTTTACATTTTAAGCTCGAAACCAAAGAAAAACATTATCGACCAACGTCATGTTTACATATATGCATATATATGTACGTGACGGCGAAACAACGCGTATACAATATAATATTCCATTGCTGGCTTATTTAGTGCGTATATTTACAATGTCTTATTGGTCTCTCATTAAAATCCAGCGACGTCCTTGTTTTTTTTTTTCTTTCTTTCTTTTTTTTTCGATAACGAAGATAATATACATACAAGAGAGATGAAAACGACATGCTTCATACGTGAAGGAATTAACGATGCAAAAACGACGCGGCGTTGGTTGAAGCTCGTTGAGAATATATATATTTTTTTTTTTCGTCCAATTATTCATACACTTACGCTCATACGGTTTTTTTTTTTTCACGCCATGGCGATTATAATTTAGATAAATCACGACAACGCCGGCAAGCACACTATTCGTCTCATTCTTTCTTCTTTAGTTATACGAAATTGGCACGAATCACTCGTCGCAATAATGATAACAACTCTGTCGAATCTTCGATGGCGCGAATCACGTTAACTCGAAAATCGTCAAGTTACGTTGTACCTTATTATGTTATATATACACCTCTGTATATATAACATAATAAGTTACGTTGTACCTTATTATGTTATATATACACCTCTGTATTTAATTCATATGAAATTTCATTTACTCAAAGCTATACGTAGCCCAACAACTTTCCTCTCTTTTTTCACTACGTATTTTTAACTTTTTTATTTTTTCTATAGCGCTGCAAAGGTTTCAATGACTGTGTAGTTGATGTATCATGTATGTAATATAGTATTACGCGTACCGCGTCTACGTACCTCGTGTGAAAAAAATAAACTTCGAGTATACAATATTTTTTGATTATTCATCATTATCGTTATGTATATATGCGAAATTATCCCCATTCCTCTTCCATCCAACGAATCTTGCGATTAGTATGGAAAATCCGTCCGAATCACCCGCATCCTCGTACACGCGTTACAGACCGCACACGTATATATATATATATATATATCCTTATGTAAATTAATCAATTGCATACGCACAGGTATTTAATATACATGCGATACATATTCCGTAGTAAATCGTATAGTTATCCCTTCTCCGTGAGCTCGTGTACGCTTTCGCGTACGGCGCGTAAAAAAATTCAGCACGAGAAAAAATATATACGTATACGTATTTACACCATATATTATCATAATTTATGTAACATATGGTGTAAATACGTATACGTATTTACACCATAAATTATGATAATAGAAAAAATATATACGTATACGTATTTACACCATATATTATCATAATTTATGTAACATATGTTTATTAAAAGTATGCGCGTGAGTGTGGGTATATTTTACAGTGCACCGAGCCCAGGAGCTCGACAGTAGGTACAGTTCCGGTTGGGCTAGAGGGTCTCGAGGAGGTTGCGGACCAGGAGCGTGGAGACGCCCCCAGCCTTGGCGGCCCTGTCGGTCTTTCTCGTCCTGGCGCAACCGCGCTCGTTGCACCGGGCCGACTGGTTGATGCCGTCCTGCTCCAGTTGCACGGAGACGCTGGCCACCCGGGGCCTCGGGCCACCCTCGCACTCGCTCTCCTGCGCGACCGATGACATGCGAACAAAAAAACAAAACAAAAAAATCTATAGGTACTTTTCACCACTGCGATTCCTTGGGGAGGGGGCACTCACCAGTAGACACTGGTTGTGCTGGTGGTGGTAGGTCATGTGGCGCGACTCGCGCTCCAGCTGCCAAGATCGAAAGTACAGGTCTCCACGGTATATAAGGCCACCCCTCCGTATCCTCAGCATAATGTGCCACCTGTAATTTTTTTTTTTTTTTTTTTTTACGTAAAAGTACCTACAGGGATACATATATATGGTGGGGGAAAAGAAGAAAAAAAAAAAAAAAAAAAAAAAAAAAGAAGGGAAAAAGAAAGAGAGACAAATGTCGGCACGTCGCGAGAGCTCACCTCGTTATTAGCTGGTGAACTCTTGACCACTGTCCCCGAGATCTCAAGATTCTCGCCGTGCCCAGAAGCGAGGCTCTGTGCACCGGGGACAGGGCGACTCCCTTGAGGTAATATTTCAGCGCGGCCAGCCACTTTCCTGAAATAAGTTTTTTTTTTTTTTTTTTTTTTTTTTTTTTTTTCATCCCTCCGTCGTACACACGTACCTACACATACGTGGCCACCGATCGCATTGTCCGTCCAACGAATAAATATATTTATGCGAGCGAGAGGAGTGGGGGGGGGAGGGGGGAGAAAGAAAAATGTCATACCATTTTGGTGCAGCCAGGCGGCGTACTCGGCCAGATAGTCCGGGCTCTTGGGCTGCAAGCGAACGACGTGTCTCAGGAGAGCCCCGGTAGTCGAGCCACTGGCCATCCTCGCGAGCACGAGGTAAGCCGGGGTATAGGCGGGATCGAGGGAGACGCATTTTTGCAGCATCCGCAGGCACTCCTCCGTGCGATTAGTTTTTCTGAAACGAGGACAAAGCCCACGCGACGATGAATTGGATTATTCGACGAAGAAGGAAAAATGTAAAAGGGAATCTGCTGGCGCGGCAGGATAAGAGGGAGGGGTATCAAAAAACAGAAGGGGAGAGTAGGGTCGGATTAGCGGTTCGATGGATATTATTAAAAAAGCCGATACCACGGGTCAGCCCGGCCGAGCGGGGAGTCATAAATCCCGGGTGGCAAGCGACGGCCGTGGCGCAGCTAAGCCAGCGACACATAAATTGAACTGTACGGCAATCTCGAGTGCCGGACAGCTCGAGTGGGAGATAAAGGGGCGGAGGGTCGGGCTCCGTACGTATACCTACCGTTGTTGTTGCATGCCGTACGAGGTAAAGCTGTTTGGGGGGGTATATATAGCTTAAAATTGAGAGGAAATTAATCATTAATGCCATTTGTTCCTTCTTATCCGTGGCCTCACTGTCCCCCAAAATCATAACTATTTTTGACCAGGGTGTACTTCAAACGACGCAAATGATCTTTGGCTTCGATTGAATTCTTTGTTTTAAAATTTATAAAAAAATCAAGGGATGCCCGATTTTACAAGAATTTCAATACGATTCGGGGGGTGTACTTACACAAAGTATGGGATTCAGGGAGGCAAACTATGAAAAGGTGATCTTGTTAATCAATACTCATTGTTCACACTTGGATGCAAAATTAAAAAAAAAAAGGGTATGTGTTTACATTTGTAATTTGTTGTACATACAAAAGTATACGTATATTCTACGTCCTAAACGAGTAACTGTATATAGTATAAAACAATGTTTGAAATAAATGAAAAAAAAAAAAGGACAATCGACTAACCTGTACAATTGGCCGAGGTTGTAGTGGGCATTAACGTGGCCCGGTTGCGCCTGGATCGCGGCTAAAAAGTGCTTCTCCGCCTCCTCCTCGCCAGCTGTCAGCGTGCCCAGATTGTTGTGCGCGCTCGCGTACGTTGGCCAAAGCCTGAAACAGTACGTCGCAAAACAAAAAAAAACACAATCATCATTGTTGATGCTGGTTTAGTAAAATACATACAACACTTGCATGTTGCTGGATACATAAACAAAATTATATAATTAAAACGCTGCAATCAAGGTTTTTATGTGTACAGGGATGAGTAAGCGACCAAGTAGTGTAATTTTGTGTGTTTACACGTGGCTGTCCGCCGAGCTCCTAAAGCACCCACACATCGTGCGTAACAATTAAATTAATCTTCCAGCTGAGGTTTGATGGCGCAAGGCAAACAAGCCGAGAAGAGGTCCGCGCGTATACCAGCGTCAAAAGGCAGAGCCAGGGAGATGGAGTGATATGCATCTAATCTCCGTAAACGCGCCAGTGGCTCGGAAGGGGTGAAGGAGAGGCCACACGTGCGGACGACTCCCGCAAACCACCTTGTCCGTCCCATCTTTCTCTCTCTCTCGTGTGTGTGTGTGTGTGTGTGTGTGTGTGTGTGTGTGTATACATACATACATACGTATACAGGTACCCACGAAGAGTACAGGGATTACGGGCAGTGACGTGTCCGATAGCTGTTGTATAGTCGATTAGACGCTCTCGTCAACGTCGAGGACGTATAGATGACCAGCTCGACCACCGCCGGCCCATCGTGTATCCATTGCTTCCAAGAGATCAGGTACCTACCGTGTCGTATACGTGTAAAATAACATCGCGAGCTCCACCCCCCACCAGCTAATCGCATCACCGATTGACCCTTTTTTTTTTACTTGGGGCTACTACGCGGATGATGTACCCCACCTGTGATGTGACGACTTTGTATCTATTTTTTTTTTTTTTTTACATATATCCAAGCTACTTCGTGGTCGATATTGATTCACAGGGGCAGCAAAGACTCGCTCGCGGGTTCGTACAAGTTTTACACAGCCTATACGTATATAATGAACGGCAAGTATCGAGAAACAAAGATTATGGCGGAAGAAAAGAGAGGGCAGCAACTTTCATTTTTTTTTTTTTTTTTTTTTTTTTTTTTTTTTCTCGTATAAACTTGATGTAAGAGAAAATTTTTTAGCGCACCCGTACAACCCGGCACAGGGGTGCAAAGAAATATATATATATATACATATACGTATACATGGTGGGTAGCGGCAACGCCAGCAAAAGTTGAAGCTATAGGCATACCCCACCCCCCCGGCCCCGATGCCAGAGGCAGTTCGGAACTACCTCGAGTCTCTGGGATGCTGTGCATAGCAAGGCAGGAGCAAGGACGTGCCCGTTTCGCGAAAAGTTTAAATAAGTTCGCCCGGCTGCTGGGCCTGATTGATTTACTTTTAACTTGATAGGGGGGGAGAGTTTTATGCGAAAGAGTCTCCTTTCTTTACCTTTCCACCCCCCCCCCCCACCTTGTAAGCCCTCTCTTCTTTGCTCGGTGAAATTTTCTCGAGTTAAAAATTGCTTCCAAGATAAATACAATTTGATACGGAGCCGGTGCACCAAGAGTCGATGAGCGAAACAAAACAACGGCGCACGCGCGTGTTTGAGCCACGTTCGAATGAATCGTCAACAAGTCGCGTTGTTTTTTTTTTTCTTTTTTCCTCTCCAAACGCAAGCCATCGCGATGCGAGGATCGATTACACCGATGTGCATGGGGGGAGGAAAAAAAAAAAAAAAAAAAGAAGAAAAAAAGAAGTGTCAGGTCGGTCGGGCAAAGAGGTCGCGTAAGGTAACCGGTGCACCGCACCGGAGCGCTTTGTCCGCTCGCGCGCATTAATTGCACGGATCATAAAGTCCGCGGGGAAGAGAGAAAGAAACGGGGTGGGCGTGATTTACTCCCGAGCAGCTTTACGAGGGCAAGTTTTCTGTGTACGAAGGGGCCCGGGTTCCATTGGCTCCGTCATTTTATAGTTTCCCCTTCCTGCCGGGGTGTCAAAGCCGCGGGCCCGCCTCGCCGATGGGGAGTTATCATCGAGATAAAGGAAAAAAGCTCTCCATGCCCCGGGGGTGGGGGGCGAACGTAAACAGTCTCTTTATTTGCTTCTTCCTCTTGGCGCAAGGATGCGCGACATTCCAATCCGTTTTCATCACGCGAGTACCCTGATTTAGCGGACCAAGGACAAACGATACGTGTGACACATCGGGTATCTATAATAATAATAATAATAATGCACAACGGCTGGCTGCATCAGCACTACCGGGGAAAGGTATATATTATACACATACACGTGGTTGGGTAGTGCGTCATCCGGCACACACAAACACACCAAAGCTATATAATATATGAGTGCGTATGTGTACAGGGTACAACGTATTCATAGGTATACTTACATTCATTTAATGCCGGAGCTTGCACCGGAGTAATGTTAAAAGCGCGCGGCGTGTCGTAAAGCGCAAGCACACAGAAACGCCCGGGTATAATATATACACACCGTACATACCATTGTATACGTGCACGCTTATACCGTGAAATAACGTATCATCGTAAATATACATATACATATACACGTAACGTATACAGAGGTCGGCAGAGCGGCATCTTTTGGCATGCACGAGCTTGTATACGTATACACATTGTGCCTGTATGTATGTTATATACCTGTATAACAGAAGATCTCGTGCACGGGCGGAGAAAGCCAGTGTATAAAACTTTTATGCCCCTATATCTGCGTACATCGCATTTCGAAGAGCCCACCTATACGTACATGTATCCGTACACGATGTATAGCGAGGTAGAGCTTTTGCAAGCGCGACATCTTATACCTCGATACGTATAATATATATATATATATATACATAACGTCGCGTCTTCGTTGCAGGCTGTGGCGAGTGCGGCGACCCTCTTGTCTGACGCTTGCACTTACTCTCTCTTGTCTCTCGCTACCTAATTAATTCCTCTCGATCTTAGACAACAAAAATACTTAAGTATACCTGTACTACTTATTTTAATCATTTTGGTGGCTTCATGATTAATAAGTAGTATACTATGGTATAAGGAAATATCCCTCGCACAGCAGCAGCAGCAATTTAAGGGTAGTATAATAAAGTAATTGATCAATTGTATGGTAACAGAGAGCTTTTCGACNATATGTATATATGTATGTATATATTTTTATAATCCGGCAAAACGGCAAATAATCCACGTCACATGGGTTTATGGGGCACGGATTACGCGGGCAAACACAAATACGCGCGGCAGGTATGCGCGTTAAGCCGATGCATATAGGAGAGGGGGATGACGAGTATGGGGAGAAAAAAAAAAAAGCTGATGTCAAAAGCTCCGATGAGCCGCGCCGCGTTTGATAATCGACGAGTGCGCGGAGCAGACTCGAGGCTTAATCGGCCCCGGCATCACCGACGACACACGCAGCCCTATATATATACACCTGCACTTTGAGCATCCCCCTCTCGTGAGATGATGCGCTGGGACTCTCGAGACCTGCACGCCCACTCGAGCCAACAAGAAGAAGGGGAGGGGGGGGGTTGCCCGTGGGGCCATGATGTAAGAAAAACGACTAACCCTCCCCCCACCTTCATTATTCGCGACGGGGCCGGGGTTTAATAGGCAGCCCGTACTTTATCTCTCGCGGTTAATTAATGCAGCCTGGGCTCTCCGGTACCTGCCAACCGCGTAATCCCGCGCGGCCGGCCTCTCCACACACACACACACACACTTCTCCCCCTTGAGCTGTTCCGTGTGTGATGCACCGGGTCAGCTTTTGTTTTCCCAACAGTGCCCCGCGTGCACGGCTCACGCGGGTATATGCTTAATTTTCGATGCGCACATAATGTGGGTATAAAATCAATTGGACTCACCACAGGGCCACCTGGTAGTGAAGAACTGCTCGGTTGGGCTGCGACGTGTCGCGGAGGAAATTTGCAAAGTTGTAGTGCATCTTTGCGTTGTCGGGCAGTGCTCGGAGACCCGCCCTGTTAGATCACAGTGAGTATTGGTCATATCGTGTGTGTGCACCTATTACAATTAATGGAGGATGAGGTTTTTTTCAAGTACCGGAGTAGCGACTCCCTCGACGTCCAGTCGCGATTTCTCAGAACAGTGCGACAGCAGCTCAGTAGTATCAGTAGGGTGGCGCAGGTCGTTAGTAGCGTTCTCCGGCGCGGCATTGTCGTCCAGATGATTTGGGCTCCGTAGGCCACGAGGAGCGTCCAACCGATGCTGCAATGGCACGCCAAGTTTGGGTTTTAAAGAGAAACATATTTTGCTGCTTTTAAAATTAAAAAAAAAAATAAAAAAAAAATACCACCATATTGCACGCAAATAGGCACGACTGATGTTAAATACATTTATTACCAGAGCACAAGGTTTTATTATACTTTAAACAATCTCGTATATGGTATACTTTTACGTTTACGTCATTACACGCAAGGCAGAGTTGATAAACAAATTTGCTGCAAAAAAGTTCAACTCTCTAAAAGCCATAGAAACTGCATTGTACGTGTATTTTTTTTTTTTTTTTCGCTTTGCGAGTTGAGGGTACAATTTGCGTGGACAAAAAAGCGCTTTTATTATTCAACAATTATGATGAAGAATTCGAGTACAACTAATTAAAAATAAATATTCCGTTGCGTTGTTGTAATTATGGTGTTTGGTTAATAAATGAGGGGCGCGTTGTCCGCAAGAGGAGTGTTGGTTGAGCACCGCGAGTGGATTACTTTGTCAAAGTCTCAGTAAAGTGCACCAATTTATTATTAAAAAAAAAATGCAATGGTAAGCATTAATTCGCGTCTCGTTGACCAACTGTATGAAAACGAGCGCGATTGAAAAAGTTGGCTGCTGTTGCAAGAAAATTTTTTTCCGTCAATTTGCATCGTAGCAAAAAATATGCACAAACGAAGGGGGAGAGGGTGTACTTATTTAGTTAACAAAAGTTTGTGAAACGTCAATTAAACAGAAAACACAATTTCACAAGCTTTTGGCGCGCCGCGTTCGTACTTTCATCGCATTCTCGAACATTTGCACTGCAGGTACAACAGAGTAAAATTTATAATTCAAACGAGTTGTACTTGAAGTGGATCCTCAACTTACTCCCTGAGCACACACTCGCGAGAAACGACGATTTCTATTTCGAGATCATCGACAGACGCGTTGGGGGATTTTTGTTCTTGAAAGGGATTCCTTGGTTTTTGCCGTGAAAAACATCAAGATTCAACATCCAGTGTCACGCGTGTGTAAAGAAAAATGAAAAAAAATTCGTCCGAGAGACGCTTACCTGGGAATGTAGAGCACACGCTCGGCAACGACGAAGCCCACGGTGATGAAGAGATTCGACGCGGGCAGGAAGGGCAGGACCAGAAACATCCAGCCGAGAACCAGTGGTGGGTGCCTCTGTTGCTGGAGTATTCACACACAGCGACCAAACACAAAAAAGTGCGACACTTGGTTATACGGCAGAGTTGTATGTATACAGGGTGCAAGTACAAAGTACTAGAGAGAAAGAGAGAGAGAGAGAGTAAAGGGTTTGCAAGTGATGAAGTACCTCAAAGTCGGCAAAGGCCCGGTAGGTGAGGACGAGGCAGCCACCGAAGAAAAGGCACGTTGCCAAGTTTCGAGTGTCCGCGAGGGAGGTGACCAGCGGCACCGAGCCCATCTGCCAGTCGTGCGAAAGGCTCGCCGGACACAGGACCAGCCAAAAGTTCAGCGCCGCCAGGTAACAGAACGTCAGCAACCTGCAACGAGGACAACGCGCAACGCCCCCTCCGTTGATGAATTTTTTCCTTTTTCTTCTGCATACATACTATATATAGAGAGCCTCGCTTCAACGTGTCGAAGGCCCCGAGATTGCGTTCGACGCTGTTTTAGCGCGACTTTCGTTTTGTTCGTTGGAACACAAAAACTTTCCGTCAAAGGGGCACACAGAGGGCTCATATACCTGCACGCCGGGATAATTAGCTGGAGCGCATTCAAACCGTCCCTCCTGATTATCGCGCGCGGGCGAAATGCCGCTCGCGAGCACGCACTCGGCTACACAAGTATGGGGTGCATTTTTGTTCTTCGACATAATACAAATAAACAACCCCCAACGGCGCAAAAGTCGTTTCCCTTTGGTTCTTTTGTTCCTGTCACTCTCCCTCGTTTTCGGGTGGGTCCGTATGTTTCTTCCCTTCCTCTTTCGTCTTGCGCTTTTTTGCACACTCGTACGTATATAATATACACGTGGGTACTCACCTATGGGTGGGGTGGGAGTGGCCCCGGTCGGAGTTAATATTTATACTGACGGAATCTACTCGCCCGAATGGAAAATTTCCGTGCCGGCGGGTCCATTGTTCGACTTTCCGGGGCGAGTTTGCCCCGGCTCGCGCGCTACGGGGCTAATGTTGGCAATGCTCAATTGAAGCGTGATTTTTAAATTGAGCGCGGATTGCCGTAATTGGAAGTTGGACCGGGAGAAATGAAGGAGGAAAACAAAGCAACAGAGCGATGCATTTCAGGGCTTGGGAAAAGAAAAAAAAAAAAAAAATGAAAAGTCCGAGGGGCACGCAAAAACACGTACGCTCGGCCATTTTCCTGCCCCTACCTCGCACACACTCGCTCTCTGTCGTGCGTATAATATTCTCCATCCCTACATCCGAACCCTTTTTCTTCGACGCCTCCCCCACCCTCGCCGTGCTCGTTTTTATAGAATAATTTTTCTTGCCCCGCTTGTTTCGCCAACGTGATTAATCGCACCTCGGGGGGTACAATTTTTCTTCCCGAATTGGGAGAGCCGGTACCGCCGACGCGAACGTGCCGAGCATTTGTCAACGAGTCATCATCATCGTTACACACCCATGTTATACAGATACCAAAAGCTCTTTCAATCCAGACGTCAGGGGAGGAGACAACTATACATTCAATCGAGTCAGCCACTCTACATCAATCGGGAAATCATAACGACGTAACGCGATACACCTGGAGGTCAACGCCAAGGCCGAGGATTTGCGTGCCACGTAGAGCTCGGGTAATCTTTCAAGTGTAATTGATACGTCTTCGAGAGAGAGAGGGAGAGGGAGGGAGGGAGGGAGTGGGTGTCTATATATACGTATAGTTTTCAAGAGCCACCGTAGTCTCTAGCGTCCATAGTCTGGGAAAGATGCGTCGGGAGTCTGGTGCTTACGAAGCACCGAGGAGGGGGTGGAGGGCGCCTTTATACATCCCATCTCTCTTGGCGGAGCCGACGTAGTAACACCCAGCTCATCGGCTCTCGAAACTTTGGTCCCGTTTAGCTCTCCCGGCCTTCTATCCCGCTGATTGATAGCATTACGAGCGATACTCAGCGGGAATTAATCCACAGCCCGAACTACCCCCCTCCCCCACAAACCTACTCCTCCTGCCGCACGGTGTAAAAATCATCATAGTGCCTATATATATATATATACGGTTGGTATCTACTTGTAAACGTACGAGAGCCCCACATAATACACACTCGGTGGAGCACACATCCAACACTCGTATCGCCATCTTTTCCCGCGCAAAGGCGAGTACTCCGCATTTGCATAATCGCTCGAGTTCGACTTGAGCCTCTTCCTCTTCTTCTTCTTCTTCTTTGATCTCTACATCCGAGTGTAAAAGCAATTTTTCACGAGCGACTCCTCCTCGCGCTCCACCGGCTCCTTTGGCCCCCCTCCGATCCTATCAGACCCGTCTACCTCGGCTCGATTGACTCCCCGATCGCTACTACCTATGTATATACGTATACGCGCTCTCTACAACAAAATGGACCGAGCATGTATACCTACTCGCATTACTTGACTCTCCCCACCCCCCAACTGCGGTATTCAAAGTAGCCGAGTCCGCGAACTGAGGCGGGGGGGAGCAAACAGATAAAAATGAATCCACAAGGTTTTCTCAGTAGAGTATCATGTGACCTATTACCCTCGAGCCGTTTTATCATCAGATGACACACTGCGCTGGCCTCGAACCCTTTTTTTCTTCCACAGCCCGACAGCCCTTTTCAGTAGTACGAGTCGGCGTTTGATCGGACGCGACGAGAGATCTTTTTACTTCGAGCGGCAAAAGGGCCGTTTTGACACAAATAAAAGACGTTGTTGTACACACACACACACACACACACACACACACACACACACACACACACGGAGACACACGGGGAAGGAGGGTAAAGTTTGCTTTTTCCCGGCGTTTCGTGGAAATTAAAACTCCCGTAACGGCGCTTGCCACGCTAAACCGAGACCGCGTTTGTAGGAATACACGGCGGTGGTTATTGCGCGCCCGACGTATATCCGACTCGGAGGCAAAAACTTTCCCTCCCCCCCTCCTCCGAATAAATTCCCCCCGGACGCTCGCGTATAACGCGTGTAGGGAGGGGGGGGGACGGTGGAAAGAGTTCCACGCTCGCGCTTTTAAAAGTTCGGAAAAGCAAAACACTTTGACGCGCTCGCTGGGGAAGGGGGAGACAATTTTTCGAAAAAGTGGGAACTAAACGCGCGCGAGAAAAACTTTGCCGCGTGCGAGGGGGTACGTGACAGGTGACGCGGCGCGACAGCCGGACTGTCGGAAGCGGATTTCGAAAATCTCGAGCACGGGGGGAGTGGGGATTAGACACCGGGGTATGACAAAGAGCCCGGGTAATTAGGGGCGCACAAAAGCCGGGGAGTCTAGAGCTCGAGGGCGCTCGGCTGATTGAACCTGCCCCACTGGACGAGCGAGTCGCCCTGGCAACCGTGGGCGAGGGCGGAGAGACTGTATACATTTTAACGAGCACACGACAAACTGCATTGATATGTTTTACTGCAGCGGGTGTCCATCGCGATGCAGATTCCCACCGTACGGGGTATAAATTATATGCACTCGCGTTGCGGGGGCTGAGCTCGAGCTTTGTTGCGACACGGCGGCCTACTTCCACGCCGGCGACGCAGCTGCATGTACGAGCACCCAATTAGCAGGCTCTTATATGCCCCGAGAGCCGAGGACGCACGTATATACGTGTAGAGTATACTCTTGATACGCTGTAAGACTCTCTTGCCAAGAAGTACAGGAGAAGAAAGGAGGGTCGGGAGAAAACAGAAGAGGCACGCCGGCTTATGTTTGCGAGCTCTAAACTCTATACACACACACACACACACACAACCGCGCGCGTCAAGAGAGAAAATGATGTAGCGGAAACTATAGGGGAAAGAGACGAGGGAATGGAAAAAATGCTCCCGGCATCTTAACCCGGTCTTTTTCATACACATACCCCCACGAGAGCCCTTCCCCTGCGCGTTGTAACGTACACACATACACACCCACCACTACAGTGCAGCCCTTTACGTTATACTCATTTCTTTTTTGCGTAACCTATATATTTCATTTCGTTCCACATTGTCCGAGCCGATATACGGGCGGGCAAAAAAATTACGTCAAGCGCGTAACAACGGTGGTAGTTACCGGAGCCGAAGCAAGCACCCGCCGGTGGAGTCGTAAAAATTTTTATTTGCTGTTTCTTTTTGCTCTCCTCCTCCAGAGTCCGTTCGTAAACTCATCTTCGGGAGAAACTCGAGAACGGGGCGTGAATCCTTAAGTCGAGGCCTACGGTATATATACAGTTCTCGGGAGGAGGGTTGGGGGTATTGGGTTGCCGCGGAGCTAAGGTGACAGCCGTGGCTTAGCCGATAGCGGTTGAATTAATGCTCGGCCGAGAGATAACGAGAGACCGTGTGTAGGTGGATAGGTGTAGGCTCGAGTTATACGAACGAGCACGTAAACTGCGAAGCGTTAAGAGCCAGATAATGGCAAGAGTGAGGTGTGCCGTGTATATATATATATATACACGCGGGGCATCGGTTGTACATCTTCGCTCGCAGGCACTTGGGGGGGCAGCCGCCGTTGCCGGCGTTAACGCCGACTCAAAGACCTTTTATTAAAGTGCATTAAGTGCACGGGCGCCTCCGGCCATATTGCTTTTACCGCTTTTATACCGGCTGTTGTACCAGCCCCGATCTTCAGCTACTTTGCCTCCTCTCCTCTCGACTACTTCTTCTTCTTCTTCTCCTGTTTCCTTGTTACCTGTTACCTATATATACTTGCTCATTCCCAACCCCTTTGCCCCCGTCTCCCTTTTCTCCAGCACCAGTCGACCGGATGATATACATTCGCAATTACCCTCTCTCGAGTGGCTGCCGTATCACCGGACTGTATACGGCACGATGTATATTTCAAGAATTCCATTTTTTTTTTTTTTTTTTTTTTTCCTTCATCCCTCCCCTGCTCTATGATTTCCGTGGTAAAGGGTGGATGTGCATACGCGCGTGTATGTATGTGGGTCACACGGGAGAATCAGCAACTACGAGGGTGGACGCGCCTGTAAATACAAGAATAACACACGGGGGAGAGAAAAAAAAAAAACGAGGAGGTGGAGACGCTGGTGGCAATAAAACGCGGTTGCTCGCGCGAAAAATATGTCGAGTTGGCTCGGAGAGCCGAGCATATACATATAGCAGAACTATACAGATACACATACGTACGGAAGCGAGAGAGAGGCAGTAAAAGAGCGCGCGTCTTCTCGCGGTGGATGGTGTACACGCATGTACTTCTGGATGGTTTTACGGTAATGGTCCGGAGGAAGACGGTATAAACCCACCCGTTCTCTTTACCCGCACGGGCCTATACACACGCGCCGCGGGTGGTGCGTTATATTACGCGTGCGACCCGCGAATCGAACCACCGCCTCGGGTGGAGCTCCTCGCGTATGGTAAAAACTTGCCCTTGTATAGATACGTTTCTCCTCGCGAATAAAAACAGGCGCCCCCGAGCGCGTATACTTTGCCTCGTCTTTTGTATACGTACATATTTTCTTTTACTCCTCCTCCTCCTCCTCCTCTTCCGCAGCCTTTCAGGGAGAGTCGTTGGTTTTGTTTCGTTTTACAGTTGTACCACCATCGCCATTTTGCATTTTACGCTCCATTTTCAATTCCACGTACACGTATATGTGTACGTAGCGAGGAAACGCGCATTATTGATTCATCAACGAGAGACTCGACGGCTGGCTATCGATACAACGCCAGCTCTCTCCGACACGTGTGCTATTTCATTAGTCGAGTTTGGTTGGAGAACAACGGAAACTCTCGACACTATATATTTACCTTTCAATTTTCGATACCCGACAGTAGCACATACACAAAAGTGTACGTGAGGGGGAGGAAGGTTGAGAAAAAAAGAAATAACTAAATAACACGTTTCGGCGTTACCAGAAACAAACAAAAAAAAAAAAAAAAACATGAGCGAGCGTATTTATATACATATACACCTGCGAAAATGAAAATAGCGAGACAGACAGACAGGCGGGAGAGGAGGGAAAATTCCGTCGAGTTGCATCGAAGAGGGATTGCGATTCGCCGGGTGCACTTTGGTGCATAAAAGCGCTTTGCGGAACACGCGCGTGTACACATTTGCATGGAGTGTAAGGAGCGAGAAGAGCCTCGACGGATTTTTCCCATTTCTGCGTATCGCCCTCCCTCCCACCCACGTGCATTAGGGGGGGTGGTCTCGAGCGAAGGCTCCTCAAGAATTATACACGTCTCATGAAATATTCCACCCGGGTGCCGACGTGAAAATCCGACTGTGGAATATCGACACTTTGCCCCCCTACTTTCCTATAGATACGCTCGCGTTTGGTCGGGTACCATTTTAATCTCCTCCACCTCGCGGTGTATAATTTTTTTTTTATCATGGAGCCACAGCTCGGCTGCACGGGTAGTCGAAACAAGGGAAGTTATCCGCGAAATCCGGGAACCTTCGAAGAAACGCGGAAGAGGCCGAGGAGGGGGTGGAAATTTATGTGGTCGAGGGTGCACACGCGGCGGCAAAGTTTTCACCCTCCCACGGTATATTCATTTCCGGGTGCAAGGGGCAAAGTTTCGTGGGATGGGGGTGGGGGAAGAAAAAAAACAACCAGTGCTCCCGCAATGGAGGTGCGTGTGCTCACCTGACGTGGAAGCAGGGGTGGAAGGCTGCCGGGTTGTCCTGCGGCGAGAATTTCGGGAGCGCCCCGTGGAGCAGGGCCAGCCTCGCGACCAGGAGAACGCCCAGCTGAAAGAAGACATGAAAAACAATTTTAGCTCGGCATCGGTGTAGCTTTTACATTGGAATTTGCTCGTACACCACCAGGTATACATATACATATATATGTATACACACATGTCGCTTTAATCGAAACCCCAGCAAGGATAAATCCAGTCTTGGATATCCCGACTACGCTCTCTACACTATATATGTGGATATATATATACAAGGTAAATCCCCGAACAATATAAATCTGGGCGTAGGTGTGCGCGATAGGAGACAAAAGCGGACGAGAAAAAAAAAAAAAAAAAAGAACTCGTGCGTAAGCGCTTACACGTTTCTGGGCGCCCGATGGAGCAGGTCTCGGTCAAACTCGATAAAATGCAAAGACAGCCAGGATGTGTATATATACGTATTGGCCGGTATCACGAAATAAAACGAGGGAGGATCAGGGTAAGGACGGCTCCGAGGAATCCAACGAGGGAGGGGGGGAAGGTTGTGCCGTAAAAAATACCATAGTTGATAAAAAGAAAGGGACGGGGAATCGATCGGAAAGGGATTTTTCGCCGGGAATGGGGGGTGTCGAGAGAGCCCGTACATAATGGCGGTAATACCGTGGACTCGCGGCCGATGGGGAAGGAAAATTCAATTTCGGTAAATATGTGGACTAACCAGCTCCCCTCGAATCTTTTATTCGGTACATTCCATTGTCATTTTTCCTTTTTTATATTTTCCCCCCTCATATTCCTGGCATTTCACCACGAAACAACACATTACTCGTGATGTTATTTTATTTATAGTAATAAATGGTCGCACACGGGGGAGGGGGGAACAACTCGATCCGTCCCGCATATTGCAGCCATTATGGCCATCAGCCGCAATAACCTTATTGAAAATACACGTGTCATGCAGATATCTCGGGGGAGAGGAAGTAGGACACGCTCCAGCACGTCTCCCGCGTACGTAAGGCGAATGACGGTAGATTAAGGGTAAGTTCGGGCTGGAATATGTACATATATATATACATACATATGTACATCAGTGATAAGGGGGTTGTCGGTTAACCTCAGCTGCATAAATTAACATACACGTATACGGCTCGAGAGCAGCCGCACGTATACGTCAGGTCTCTCGACACACCGGGAGGAGGTCACGGGTGGTGTGGAGGGTACGTATGAATGGACGAGGAGAAAAACAAGTAAGAGAGGAGCCACCGCCGCGATCGTGGGCGGAGAGGTACATTTTTCAGCGCGACCGGACGAGAAGAAATCCGAAAAGTTATGTGGCCCCGGAAAACCACGCGACGGCCCTGTGGGCGTGTACCCCGGCGCTGGTGGAAAAATTTCCCAATAACTCTATACGGCACTATGTATATGTATGTATCGTGCTCGAGGGGGGGTTTTGGGTTTCAACCCGTATAAGGACGTAAGTACGAGGTGATGGACCAGCTTGGGTCCAACAACTCACCGAGACCAGTAGAGTGGCAGCTCGTCGCGCAAAGAGTCGGGACTCGTCGTTCCACTTTGCCTCGGAAATGGACCTGTTATCGGAGACGAAAGGCTCGTGTGAGTATACTATTGATTTACCAAAGGGGCTCACACACATGCGTGGCATACAGTTGATGGTTATACCTCTTTATCGAGTGCCACGAGCGACACAGATCGTAGAGCAGGTTGAGCAGCAGTACGGTGACGCCGGTCTCCTTGGCGAGCATAGAAAGGGCCCCGAAGCACACGCTGCTCCACACGTAGGCCGTCTGTTGACTGAAAACACAGCAACGTTTTTATACCTCGTGGATGTATGGTTTTTTTTATTTATTATTTCTATTTTTAGAGAAAGGGAGAAATTGAAGAAAAATTGAAATTAAATTGTCGCAGCGCGAGGCTCGAGTACTTATACTTTACGGCCCGTCACGCTCTTGCGTTTAGTTATGCATAGCGGCAACCGAGCGCTCTTTTAGCCCCTCGTCCATTTAATCGCCGGCACTGACGATGCTATACGAAATTTTTTTTTTTTTTTTTTTTCTATATTAAAGTGGCTCCCAGCAAAGTTCCCTTCCATTTGACCGATTAAGTGCTAAATCATTATTCCGAGGCAAGGACCGTGATATTCTGAAAAGTAAAACGACGAAGGGAGAAACGGGGGAGAATCGATTCTAGATGAATCCACTCGTCTATCGTTTCAATCTATCGTTTTAATCTCCCAAATGGAACATTCGTGTCGCCCGCCTTCGTTTGAAATTAATCGCCAAACGCGTTACTGAATTTATACCACCTCGCTTTTCTCTCTTGCCACCCATGTGCCTGTATATATATAGAGAGGCCCAGAGACCATGTATCCGCATAAAATATTGAAACACCATCGCTAAAACTAACCACTTGTATATACGTCGGCGCTTTCAACAACATCCGTGCTTTATACAAGTAGTTATACATACATATACATGCGTCATTGGTAATAGTTATTATGCGTATATCCATACACTTGCTGAATTTGCGTACATTAGTATTATCATCGCGTGTACGTGCGTACAAGTGTACACGCGACCGCGTTTTCATAATCACGTTGATTAACGTCGTGCGACGACGACGACGATGACGAGGACGATTTACTGGTAGAGCCATTACTATTATTACTTTGGGAGCTTTGATCAAACTAACCCGTTAATTATGCAATATTTGAGTGTTTTTAACCTCATGATATAGTATACGGACATTTAGTATTTTCATTGTCCCTTTCTCTTGTCGAATAAAACAACGTGACGGAACTTACCCGTGATAGGCGAGAAATGACAGTAGGAAAAAAATACAAGCTAGGACGTCCGCTCTTCCAACGATTCCGGTTACCTGAAACATAAAAAAAAATTGTGAATAAAAATATAGCGCAATGGGCTGTGCGTTATGACGGAGGAAATTGGCTTCATAAATACGAAAGTTTGGGGGTGAAAAGTTTTTTTTTTATCGGTTAATTGCTGAGAGTTTAAATGGTTTATTGTATTATTACATACAATCCTGCCAATTTTTTGTCCGCCATGTACGAATGAGGGGACGCGTGACTTGAAATACGAGCTTTGGCTTAGGACCTCGAGGGTAAGTACTTTGCTGAACTTTCCACCAATTACATGCTAATTATTAGGATTAAATATGCCAAAAGAGCGGTCGTAAAAATTTTTAATCTCCAACATTTAATGGCCGAGCTCGTGTACAGTTAAAGCGTTGGGAATTTTTTTTCAAATTACACCTCCATTCTGTATTTAAGAGGATTATTTTGTATAATGGATAATGAACAAAGTACAAAAATGTACATTTTTCTCATTTGCTCCGTAAAAGTGGCTCCATAAATCTGTGCGATTCCGGCAAACCGATGGACTGAAAAATCTGTAAAATACGGGTTGAAATTAAAACACGCAACGAGAACAACATTGTACGAGTACTTTAACCCACGAACGCAATAATCACGGTGCGCGTAACGATCGAGCCAAAAAATTGAACGACGCGTTAAACCTCGATGAGGAGCGAGTTTGACCGTACATGCATGCAAATTTGGGGGCTCAAACGCTCGAGCTTGAAATGATTATGGAAATTGGTTTGTTAGCGTGATAATTGTTGCAATTGTTTCGTAAAAGCACTCTCAACGACAATTTGTTATTACTGACGTAATTGTATAGTATAGGCGATATGATTAAACGCGCTTACTGCCGGGGAAAACGGCTCATTAATATCTCGCGGCACACCAACGCACGAGTGTAAATTTCAAAGAGGAAAAAAAAAAACAATCGTTTTGCAATTGTCGTTGTCGAAAAATGAAAAGAAAAGAAAAAGTGCCGATGACGAAGCGTCAAACGTCGCGAATCGACGTTCGTGTCTCATTGATTCGCACGGCTCAGGGAGTAAAGGATATCGTTTATAGGAAAAAAAGGGAGGGAGAGGAAAATCACTGTAGGGCACGGTCGGTTTCGTCCAATCGAGCGGAAAATTGATACACTCGAGCTGAAATCCAGGTGATATGTCGCTCGCTCCAACGGGAATGAATGTGAAAAAACTGGTAGGGAGGAGGAAGCTTCGGAACAAGGGAAACGGGCATGTATACATATGTATACGTATGTATACATGTACAAAAACAAGAGTACGTGCTTCGTCAGTGTCGGAAACACGGGAGATGGAAAGTCAAGCCGAGAAAGACAAGGGACTTTTGTAGACGTACGTGTGCGCGTGCGGATGTCGGGTGGTTATCCCCAGTTATATTCTCGAGATAACGGGAGATAATGACGAGGATCGACGCAATAAATCAGATTCAAGACCTCCCCGCGTGCACAAGTGGTGCGCGTATACATGGCCCGTGACACGGAGCGATTTATCTTGGCTCCACGAGTATATATATCTATAGGTGTACACACGGCCAATAATCCCATTTGGTCAGGTATACATGACGGTTGAATTTCGCGAAATCATCAAGTTGGCTGCGGACTCGGTTATATAACCCGTATTAAGCTGTACACGATATAGGAAACTCTCGGGGATGAGTTAGTTGCTCAGCCATCGACTTATAGGCGGGATGTATATGGTCACGTAAACTAAACGAGGTGGAGGAGGAGGTGTAAGGTGCTCTCCCAACGCACTTGGAAATGATGATCGTAACCTGCAGTCAAGTTTGCCCGAGACGACGCTGTCTATCTCTTTAGGACCCAAAGTTTCGATCCCCCCTGTAACGTATTAACGTGTCCTATCGGTTGCATCTCGATGCTCACCACACGCCCATATACGTATACAGAGTACGTGGGTAGTAAGAGCAGTCCTTAGCAGAAACTCCCTTAGTTTGCTCCAGTTTAATACTTTGACTAACTTCATTACCATCTCCTCCTCCTCTTTGGAGCCCTTCAATTGATTACAGGAGCGTCAAACCCATCGCGCTTACACTCTTCCTCTATCTTTTCCCCTCATTGGCTATTCAAGCTCCCAGCCGTGCTACCCTTACTCACCGTTTCTTGTATCACGCGTGCAAATGCCGCTCGTTAATTATCAGACCTCTTGTTTCCCTTTTTTTCCCTTCATTAGGGCCATTGTGACCCCGTCGTTGCAGAGATGAGACAATAACCGCTCGACGCGCCCGCGAGAGATCGATTTTTTTTTTTTTTTTTTTTCTTCCACCTCCTCTTTTCCACCGCACATTCGTGCATCGGCTCAATGCCATCAGCATCTCGTTAACGCCATCATCTCGCCCGTGCACAGCAATATGGGCACACGGCAACAACAATGGCACACGGGCCGGTGAATGCTCGGTATACACGATGTTTTTTTTTTTTTTTTGGACGCCCGTTCTTTCGTTCGTTTGTCGATGGCCATTCATCCATTTGGCAGCCTCGGGCTCAATGGCACGTGAAAACATAAAAGTTGCGAGACTGCATTTTGGCCGCGCGCCTATCTCCCTCCCTCCGGAGAGCACACGGTCATCTCTGTACGTATGCATCGGGGTCGTAGGAAATCCCACGCCTATATATAACACGCGGGGAAGAGATTGCGCGTACGGTAACTAGTGGCCGAATATATATATATACATATATCCCATCTCGGGACTACAATGGGTCGCCACACCTGTGCTCTCCCCCCCTTTTATCGCCGTCCGAGTCGTTTTACCGAGCGTCTTTTTTTTTTTTCGCTCCAACTCGCCTCGTTTTATTACGATATCCCTCTACCCACCTACTAACCTACAGCCGGTTTAAATCAACTGCCGACGTTTATTGTTGGAGCGCGTTATTTTTTTTATTTTTTTTTTTCTGAAAAGCGTGATAATAGACTGGAAAAAAACGAGCACTTACTTTTCTGGAGGGTTGGTGTGTCCACATCCTCGTTAGACCTGCTTTGAATTATGCCGTTCGTTTATCGCGACGTGCCCGGTTAATATTACACCTGATGATGCAGTCGCGAGATCGATATATTGCATTACCCGTCGACCTGAACTAAATATCGTTTTAAATATAGTCTTTATTCATTCAACATTTACATTGTCTTTTAACATGTCGTTTTTTCATCGTGTCTTTATCCATTTCTCTTATTTTCGCTTGTTATTACATTTTCGTTCTTTATTTGGAAGGTGATGTTTTACTTTAAGACGTCAAACTTTGAACAACAATCCTCATGAAAAGGACGAAAGTTAATATTCGCGATTGGTATTTCGGTCGATTCATCAAGTTTTCAGAAACGAGAGTATTGAAAACCGATACGGTTCATGAGGAGGTTCGGCATGGGCAGTGGCATCCGGTCCGAGTAATGTGAAAATTTTACAAGATGCAATATACGTATGGGTACATCCTGTTTCAAAATATACATCCTTACAATTGGCCCAGAAACGTCGAAATGCACCCACGAGGTGATGAAAAATTAATATAACCGTATAGCGTGTGTATCGAGTAAGAGCCGAGATAATGGAATCGGGCACTTTCAATGTGTACGCACATACACAAAAGGTGCGAGTTCATCGACAAGCCGAGTGGATTAGCGAAACGAGTATTTATGAGAGAGGAAGGCGGCGGGATACACCGTTCATTAAGCCACTGCGAGTGTGTAGGTAGACTATACGTGTGGTTTCTACCATTGATTATCGCAACCAAGTGGTAATATGAAGAGTGGGTCACAGATCCTAGCAATTAATTATCGTTGTAAACGTACGTGTTTACTGCGTGTTGCAGGCCACACACACACACATACACACACACACACATTGGTGTATCCGTTGTACGAGCAATGGGATCACCTCGCGTGGCGGTGCAATTGCTTGCTTTGTTGGTATACCCGGGCAGATTTAATTATACTCGATTGAATCAAACGTTCTGTACTGGTGCAACGGATGCTTCTCGAATTTTCTACCTGATGTCGTTCGTGGAATTCGATCTGTCATACGAGGGTACACCTACCGGTTGACAACTGTAAACGCACATCGCGACGTATACGCGTATGGATGATGAATGACACGAAGGACCATTTGTTGGATGTGTACTTTTTTATTTTAACAATGTATAATTTGGGGCTAAGACCAAACGTTGTGTAATTTTGAAACCTATACGCATCGTGAATTTAGAAATTTCGCTTAATTTTTCTGTAACTATAATCGTATAACAAAGACTCGTGAACGAAACGTACAATGAAATAGGCCACGAAAGTGTCTGATAGTCCAAAAATAACATTGAGACCAAATTAATATTCTCTGTTCAAATTCGCGAATCGCCTGTAACTTTTGTTCCTAAAAATATGGATAGAGTCAAAACTCATTTAAAATGTCGGATAATGTATCCTACCCCCGGTTCAAGCACACTTGTGGGTACATTCGTCAAAAGTGCCATTTTTCTTCAATTTAGAGAAAGTAATACTTTTGTGTCGTAACTTATTGAATCTCTCGGATCTGCTTGATTATTTATCGGTAACCCCTATGAAACAAAATTCGATACGTCAAACGCAATGGCAAAAGATGGAGAAGTCAACGAGTTTCAAGTAGAGTCAAAAGCTCGCAATGTGCGCCGTAAGCTTCATATCTGCTTTAAGGTCACAGCAGAAGGAAGGGGGTACCGTGCGCAGTAGCTGGTAGTCGGTTCGACTGCGGTTTGAAGGGTGATCCTATCAGCGCGTAATGGGACATCCACCGGAGAGTCGACGAGCGTCGGGTTATTGGGGAAAAGGGGAAGTCGAGGGCTGCCGTTGACGAGGCCATAAAAAACCTAAACACCCACGTGCACCCATAATTAAGTAATTCACTCGATTGTGGCACCTACCGAGCGTGTGCGTTTTTGATTCCCCTCCACCTCCTCTCGTACTTTTTACATATTTCTCTTATCAGCAACGCATTTCAAGGATAAAAAAAAAAAAAGGAAAATTACATCGGGCAGGTGTACCACGAATCGTACTTTCTTTTCTTTGGCCATCGTAAACGTAAATCCTTTTTTCCCCTCGGTATCAAAAAGAGTTCCGTAATTGCAATAAAAAAAAAAAAAAGAAAAAAAGGTACAGCCCGTTTTCCGTGCAAAGGTAAAAAAAGAAAAAATTACGTGTCTTAAGAAGCGCAATAGCCCCCCAAAGAGCCACACTGCAGATAAACGAGGATATATATATATATACATGTATAGGTGTACAGAAGAGACGCAAAGAGAATCGAGCTTTCCCCGGTACAGCCCTCGTCTCGCAACAATGAGATAAAACTTGATTAATCAGACAAAGTCTTGAGCAATACCGCAGGCGAGAAAAGAGGAGGGTAGGGTAGTGCTGATGCAGTAGTAGCCGCAGCGGAGGTCCTCGCTCCTCCCCCGGTAACTTGATAATTCTGGTAAACAGATGCGCTTCGCGGGTTCTCTCCTTTGGTATTCCCTCTATATATACATGTATAACCCTCGCGTGCATAGTGTTTGCGTGTGTTCGGCTTGTGTTTCACCGGCAAACGCCTACTGCAAACTGATCCAGACAAGGGTGGTATAAGCACGTATATATACGTACCTCTTATACCCGTGTACATATATATACACACTACAAGCCATCGGTATGCTCTTGCCTCCGCTCCAACGGGTATACGTATATATATATGTGCTGCTACTTCAGCACGAGCAATTACGTGACTGCGGTGCTTATACACGATTTCGTGTACCAACTACAGTGTATGGGTACGTGGGACCCACTGCCAGATTTCGCCTCGTCGTTTAATCGAGTGATGTGTCGCTCGGTTTATCGAGCCCAACAGAAAGGTGGGCAAAAAATATTCTCAACCGTTAAAACGACGGAGGAGTAGAGTAGAGAGGCACTCCCGAGGAGTTGCAGCCGCGTTAATTGATAAAGAGCTGCCAATCCAACACACGTATACATAAATGTTATCCCGAAGCACATATATAGCCTAGATACACGAAGAGCTTGCACTGGAGGTTTTCGACACTTCACGTACAACTCCACCACGCTCGGACGATGACGTATATAGACAGGTTTGGTGCAGGATTGGATATGCACACACCGGCAAACTTCGGACAACAGTCGGACGGGGAGAGCTTATTGTATACTTCGTTCGTGGTAAAATTACGGCTACGGCTTGCAAGTTTGCAACCGATGCGGTTCAGTTCTCTCTAACTAGGCAACTTTCGGCGTTGCAAGTAGGTCTCTATTGATGAGGTGGCTGTGGGCCGGAGGGGAGAGAGAGTTCGCTTTACTCTCAAGAAGTATACCAATGGAAACAACACTCGGAACAGGGAAGTAATTGCAAGCACACACATATTTTTTTTTTTTTTTGTTCCTGATCACGTGATATTTTGTTACATAACACACATGCATGAGTTGCAAAGTATACGCGTATTGTATGAAAAAAAAAAAAAAAAAAAAAAAAACCAGTTGTAGGGGTGCATTTGTATATACTTACGGCATCGGTGTGAATCGGGTGGGCGGCGAAAAGTAGACCAGCCAGGGCCGCAAAGCCCGGGGTGAGCGAGGCCACGGCGAGACCGACTCGGGTGACCAGCATACAGGCGGCGGCGTGCAGTGCGACGTTGGTCGCGTGATACCAGGACGGCCTCAGGCCTGCTGCCAAGTAATTTAGTCTGCGGAACAAAACATGCGGAGGAAAAAAAAATTTATTCCTTCGTTATACATCCTCGTACACGTATATGCATATAAGAGATGCGAGGGTGTGCGCGTGTGTGGGGTGATAAACGCTTTTCTACCGAGAAGTGGATAAAAGCACATACCGCGTGATTGTTAAAGCTGGGCTTGTCTCGATCCATCATCCCAAAAGTGTATCGTTGGGCTAATTGATCCAGATTGGTGTATACTGGTAAAGCGGTACCGCGAAAGAACTCCAAAAGTACACCCTTGATAGTCCTAATAGCCGGCGACAAGACGTGCAAGACCGATGTCGTGCCGAGTCGTAAGCTCCGAAAGAGGAGAGAAAAGCTACGTAAAGAAACGTCGGAGCGTGGGAGCGTCACCGAGATGGGGAACAAAAACACACCGGGCGACGTTATCGTTGCGGTACCTGCGAGAGTAGCTTTCGCCAAATTCCAACTCTACCCCCGCCGGAGTAAAGGTTGACGACTTTGGGAGCCTTTCTATAGATATAAGTATACCAGCTCTTTCTCCTCGAGCTCTTAACTTTCGCATCGAGCGGCTCAAGACCGTCCAAGTCGCTTTAATCGGATCTGGAAAAGTGCGTCTATACGCGCCAGCAGCCCCTCCTCCCTTTTCTTCTCCGCTCTTTAGCGCTGTGTATAAGTTCGCGCGACCGCGGTTGTCTGGTGCACCTATTTGCTCTCCCCCTCCCAAGCCTCTGTACCGTATAGCTGTGAAAAGCGCTTGTCAATGGGAGGCGATATGTACAATAAAAGTTCCAAAAGAGAGATAAAAAGAGGAGTTGGGGTGGGGAGGGTGGAAAACAAACATCACAACACGCTGACGCTGCGTCGCTATAATTTCAGAGTCGGGCCTGCCGTCGACGTATACCCCCTCCCCCTGTACAACGCGCACACAGAGAGACTCGATCCGAGAAGGGGTCGATGTTCTATCTCTTCCTTGGCGTCTTTCTACTTTGGCTTTGGCTAGCTTCCAGGTGTCAAGGATCCGACCCACCCTCCACCCCACCCCCCCGTTCTCCTTTGAGCTGGAAACCAAAAGACCTTCTCTCCTTTCCGCGTCCGACTATACACGTATACACTCCCACTTTCGTTCTGTGTGTCTCGCACCACACTGTCGGGTTGAAATCCTACTTATTTTCACCCTCTCGGGGGAAGTGTACGTATATATAGACAGTCGCATTAATTGCCGATCGGCTTTCGAGCGCGTCGCCCTCGATTTTTCTCTCTTGTTTTAAAATTCTTTCTCTTTTTCCTCTTTTTTTTTTTTTTTTTCACAATTTCGTTAAATTTCAACGCCCAGTGGTGTATACACGGGGAATAAAAACGTTGCTCGCAGCCAGCGGATGCGTGTCGAAACATTCGTCACGTTTCGCGCGAGAGGAAAAAAAAAAAAAAAAAAGAAAAAAGGAGCGTCAACACGTACAGTAGGTACGTATATTACCTGTATGTCGACTCGCCAGCACCAGCGAGTTTTGTGCGCCGAACACGAGAAACGAAGGATAATTCGCACGTAGCCTGTCTACACGGAAGATTACATTTCGTCGTGCAGAGAGCGAAAGCTTTTTTTTCCTGCCTTCCTTTTTTTTTCCATTTGAAAACAAAAAAAAAAAAAAAAAAACAAGAGCGACAAGGCTTGTTTCCCGATTCGTTGCCTTTTTTCGTGTACGTGTATCCTATGCACGATGAGTTCACGGGCTGTATGTTGTTGTCGTTGCTGGATTTGCACAACTGTGGGCGTATCACTTTTAACGAGTCGTCATTAGATGTGTGAGCCTTTATCTCCTACATATAACATGTGAATCGCGGTGATAGGAATTATAAAAGAGCCCCTTTGAGGGTAAATTTTGAAAATCGGCTTAAACGGAAAGAGGGAAATAGAGAATGCATGTAAGGAACGACGGAATATATGAGTAACGAAATGAAAGGGGGAAAAGTAGATTTCGCAAATGAGCGTATTGACGATCGCTTTGAAGAAGGCTGGCTATGCACCGAGGAATCGTTAACTAAAACCAAGGGAGAAGGAGCTCAAAAAAGTAGGCGAGTAATGAAAAAGGAGTATAAGTGGCTCTTGTCATATCTGCCTCTCCCTCTCTCTTTTTTTTTTTTTTCTTCTTCTTCTTCTTCTTCCGATCTCCTCTAAAGAAGTACTTTCCCGGTAATTCGAGCGCCCATGTCTTATAACGCTAAGGCGGCGGAGGTTCCCCTGCCCCTTGGCGCGCTCGCTCCATTCGTCGTCGTAACGAGGCATTAAAGCCCAACGACGATGTCGTTAAATCATAGCCGAGCCGGGAGAGCTGCCCCGCGAGCCGCCACCACCTTGCCTCCCCCCACTAGGTATAGATATATACGTACATAGCTCAACCCAGTAGCGGCAAGTGCTTCAAAGCCTCCCTTTTTCCCTCATAGGCAGGTACCTCCTGCAGTTGGCTCGTTATCCGGGGGCGCTCGGCTTCTTCTTCTACCTCCCCCTTCCCACCCCTTCGAGTCGAGCCAGCTCCTCTTCATCTCCCAGCCCGTCTTACTTTTCTTTACATTTAAAGTCGTCCTGTCCCCTACCCCCCTTCCTCCTACTTAGCCGGCGCTCGGCATCTTTCCAATTACCAAAGGTGACAACGCGGCCCTTCTCCTCTTAATTCCATCCCCCCCCTCCCTCCCTCGATACAAGCAAGCGCAGGGGAGGGGGGTATAAGAGAAAATTCAGGTCGGAGGGACAGGGCGTGGCTGCTTTGGTATTCCACCGGTGTACATGTATATTTATACATACATCAGGAGCCTCGACAAGAAAATTTTCCCCATCCCCCTGAGGGATGTGTGTAATACGGCGACGTGCCTAATCGAGAACTTGGTCTCTGTCGCGTGCGCGCGCGTGTGTATATACCACCCCCGGGTGAGTGCAGATAAAAGCGGAACGAGAGCGTTTGAGGGCTTGCGCGCTCCATTGAAATGTTTCCCGAGTCGCGATGCTGCATTTCCGAATCAACAGGCAATCGGGATGAAAGGTCTGATGTGCGCGGTGTCTTTGCGGGGTGTGTTTTATTTTATTTTTTTTTTTTTCGACTCCTACATCTCCGTGTTTTTCTGCGCTATCTCATCCAAGAACCGCTTGATTAGTCCCCCGTTGGGAGAATAAATAAAAAATATAAGAAGAGCACCTCGGTATTGCTCACGTGTACGAGCGAGAGCCGAGTGTAAAAGGGTACGGTGGGGTGGGCTGCGTGCGCGGCATATTCAAGTCGCGGGGCTTGTCATTGTCGGCGTCCACCCCTCGATCGTTCCGCCGCGAAAGCTGGCCGCCGGCTTTTCGGATTCTTCCGTCTCTCGGTCACGTCTCCCCCGAACATTTTCCCCGCCCAGACCTCTCGGCGGGTCGCGCACGGACCCCGTCCCGATGGCCACCCGCAAAAGGGACGCTGCCTTTTTTATTATTCGCGCTGCCTCTTCCGCGAGCGCTTTGGATGTTCGCTCGTCACTGCGACACACGCCCACCCCCTCTCTCTGTATAACTCATGCGAGCATAATTATATACACCCCAAACCAAAGCGCGTACCTACTTATTTCGCGGGGAAAAGTTCGAGATTTCGGAGAATGGGCGTACACACCCACGGGCGCGCTCAACGATCCAAAGTTGGAGAATAAAAGAGACCGCGATAGCGCGCGAGACGACAATGCGTTTAATGGCTCGGAGCGGCCAGTGTGTGTGCTCTCTTCCTTCTTGCAATCTCACCCCACCCCCCTTCACCCTTACAATCTCGGGAACAACTGCCGAGGAAAAAACGAGAGCTCCGATACCACGGCGACACTTGCCGAGTCTTTGCTCTCGGACCCCCATCGTCTCCCCCCCCCTTTTTTTTTCTCTTCCTTAGATCCGGCTGCCCGAACGATAAGCCCCTCCCTTTGTATCCATCCCTTAGATTTTTCGCCCCTTTGCTCTTTCGATTCGGAACGTGTACTTTGCATCTGTTTTCACGTGCCGTTGCATCTATACGCGCGAAATTGGTTTCGTTGCTGTTGTTCCCATTAAATCGTCGAGCGTTGAAAATCACAGGTTGTTGGTTTCTTCTTTCGCCGCGTGCCGAATATCGCTCTCAACCCGATCGACCCTACATGATATTCCGACCGCAAATAGGGCAGGCACTTTAAAAGAGGGGGAGAGAGCGTGTCACGGAACGACTTTTCCACGATACAGGGTATACACGTGTACACTCGGGGGGGATTATCAAAAATGAAATGACTGGGAGGGGGGGGAAAAAAAAAATTGAGGTTTCGGTCTTTTTGAATATTTCAGGGGCTCAAGGAGCCGGAAAAGTAGGTGGAAAGTAGAGCGAGCGAAGCTCTCCGACGGAGGCAGGTATACGTAAGCGCTTGTACACGTGTGCGCGCTGTAGAATGCATGTACCGCAGAGTTGGAAGGAGGGCCGGAGGGGGATGGGGGGGTGGGAATTTTCTTGCGAAATTTGTAATACGAGGTGGAGGGTATATGGCGTCGAAAGGAGAGTTGGCAGAGCCGATGGCGTATGCCGGGGGGCACACGTGATAAACCGACAAAGTGGCGTCATTAGGATGAGCGAAAAGAGAGAGAGAGGGCGCCGAGGCGTAGCTGGCATTAGAGCGGACACATCGCGTCTACGTGTCCGGGAGACTCCTTATACATTATGCCACCCTCTTCTCCCGTATACAGACCGGTCCATGTATACATATATATGTACCGTCTCGTGGTAAAAGTCCCTCGAGTCGCTCTCCTGTCTACTTACTTAGGGTATATACATGCCTCTCTTGTCCCTCCAAGTGTCCCTTTCGACGGACGATAATTTTTATGCGGGTGCAAAGCAAAGGTGGGGGGGGGGGGACCGCAGACACCTACAGACTGCCGGTTATACGGATACAGGCACGTAACGTATACCTACACTCAGCCTCTAATTAGCGATTAAAACTTTCCTCGGTCACTTCTCTTCCCTCCAACTTATGTATAC